ACCAGTGTTACCATGGTAACAATCAGTGACATATGAAGGGAGCAAAGCGAGGGGAAAGAGTTTTTAGAGACGGCGGCCATTTTTTTTCACACTCTGCCCTTTTTTCATATTGAAAAACAGTCTCTATTTACCCAGAATTCATTGTATCACAGTCCGGCTTAAGACAGTGAAGAACTAAAGTGCTGTCAGACTCAGTGTATCTGAGCTCTGACTGTTGGAGACACAGTCACAGTCTGTCTCTGTGAAACTGGCTCCAGGTCTAGGAGGTCTAACAACAGAGTCTCATTCCCCTTTTGAAGACTAACAGCCTTTACTGTACATTCTGTGCATCATGGCATTTACACAGACATTATTATTCATGTTTGTATTGAGATTGTGTCGCCTTGAGGAGCGCGTGTGGCTGCTCAGTTTCCTTTCAGATGAATTCCTTTCTGCTGTTCGGCAGCGGTGTGAACACTGAGCCGCATGTCAGACCACCCGCCCATTTACTGTAAAGGAAATGGCGATGCAGGTGGGTTGAGAGGAAAAGGTGTATTGAGGTTAACGGTACCACAAACCTCCTCCGTGTGGGCGACGTGTTGTCTAATCTTTGACAGTGAACGAATGAAGCACAAAGACGCACAAACCGCTGTGGTGACGGCGACTCCTCCAGCCCGAGGTCAGACGTCCGTGACCGTGAAGTGACGACCTGCTGTTTCTCACATTAACTCAACTGTGTGTGCTTGTGTTCAGAGTCTCCACCAGAGCCAGAGGTCATCTACTCTTCGCTGAGGTTGACCTTCCCTCCGCCCGCTGACGTCCGGCTGCAGGGGACGGTTTGACCCGGGACGAGCGACGGAGGGAAGCAGCAACAAACGGACAATGAAAAGCACTTACATTATTTTGTCAGCAGGATTACACAAACGGTGCTGAGCTGATTTGCTCTGGACTTGGTGGAGGGAAGAGGAGTGGGCCAGAGAAGACCCCGTTTAATTCTGGGCCAGATCCGGATTTGTTTCCCTATAAAGTCTGATGTATGTTGTTGACATTGACTTCTGGTTTGTTACATGTGCCCATGTGACCCAGAGGTCACTGTCTGCAGAGTCACAACACGACGTTTAGCAGAGGTGGCATCACATTACACACTGACAAGAGGAAAAAGCAGTGACAGGAAGCAGCCAGCAGGTGGCAGATAACACCAGTATCAGCATGTGACATAAAGAGAGAGACCACGTCTGCAGAAACAACTTCATCCATTTATGGATAAATGTGCGAGTGGAAACACTGATGAGCTTTATACCGAGGAACCACGTGAACGCTCAGCTTCATCATTCAGATGAAAACAATGCAAATGAATATTTCTTTTTTGTTTTGTGTGTCATGTAGTTTTAGTCATGAATCTGCAGAGTTGGTTTTCCTTTCACTTGAGGTTTCGTATCCTCATCATTAAATCAAGGCTCTGACGAGCTGTTTCTGTTAACTGAAGTGGAAAGAATCCATGACATGAGAGTGAAGTGGAGCCCAGTATGTGACCCTCCCTTCATGAATAACCTCGTCACTATTTTAGTTTCACTTCTGTATTTGGAGGGGGGGGCAATATAATCTTACCTCAGGGGCCACTTAGTAGCTCCTCCTGGGGCTTTCAGCTCCACCTCGGGGTTTCCTTCAGTGGCAGACAAACCGACTGTGGCGGGTTCAGGTCAGTGAGGTCAATAATGTCCTCCAACATGATCTGATGTTGCTTTTCTGTCCTGAACATTTGTGCATCTACAGAAATAATGTAAAGAATAAACTGCAACTTTATCTTTTCACATTTTTTTACTTAAACAGGTTGATTATTACATTTTTTTCCTGGATGAAATTAAAGTAGAATCATGAGGAAAAACAATCATGAGTCCGTCTCATCCCCGTGATTAACGACAGATCACTGATGATCAATGATCAATGAACTGTTTGTGGTGTTTGTGTTGCTGCTGAACGTGTGTGAAACAGTGTCTGTCTCCGGATTCAAGACAGATTTCATTCTGACATGAAGTGAAATCAAATAAAAACAACAAACAATAAAAAATAAAGACATTTATTTAAAAAAAAATAAAGGTGCTTTAAAGCAGCAGATGTGAGAAAATCACATTCACACGAGGAAGAACCAATCAGACTCCTCCAGGTCGCTCCTGACAACGAAGCTTACCTGTCTAAATAAAGGATATAAGATACTAATGAATATTAGAACGTGTAACCATCGGCCACGGCAGCTGAGAACAGGTTGTAGTTGGTTTAGATTCAGTGTTAAACTCCAGTGTCTGTAAACAAGCGGGACGAGGTCGTATAAACGACGCTGCAGCTCCTCATAAATATCTTATTAATTATAGATGATGTAATATTTGATTTCATTCCTTCATGTTATTTGAGTCAGGATCCTGTTTGACGTGTTGTTTACCTCTGTGGGATCTGACAACAACAACAACAACAACAACAACAACAACACAGAGAGCAACAGCAGCGACGGCTGCAGCTGCTACAGTTTCTTCCTTCAACACTTCTTCCTGCTTCTGTCCGTCTGTGTCTTCTACAACCATCGTCTGTCTCCACCACGTGCTTTCAGGTGTTTGTCCTGAAGAGCAGAGGACAGGTGACAGCTGAAGGACAGGTGACGACTGGAGGGCACAACAGCATTATCAAATATTCATATTAACATACACCTGCATACACCTGGTCTCTACTGACTCACCTGAGTCTGACTCTACTGACTCAGCTGGTCTCCTCTGACTCACCTGAGTCTGACTCTACTGACTCACCTGGTCTCCTCTGACTCACCTGAGTCTGACTCTACTGACTCACCTGGACTCCACTGATTCACCTGGTCTCCACTAACTCACCTGAGTCTGACTCTACTGACTCACCTGAGTCTGACTCTACTGACTCACCTAGACTCTACTGACTCACCTGAGTCTGACTCTACTGACTCACCTGGACTCCACTGATTCACCTGGTCTCCACTAACTCACCTGAGTCTGACTCTACTGACTCACCTGAGTCTGACTCTACTGACTCACCTGGTCTCCACTGACTCACCTGAGTCTGACTCTACTGACTCACCTGGTCTCCACTGACTCACCTGGTCTCTACTGACTCACCTGAGTCTGACTCCACTGACTCACCTGGTCTCCACTGACTCACCTGAGTCTGTGATTGTGAGGTGTCTGATCTCAGAGTGCGTTGATTTGCTGCCTTTCATGTCTCCCACTGAAACGTAACAGTCGTACGTTCCGGCGTCGTTGGCGGTGACGTTCTTCAGGATCAGAGAGGCGTCTCCGTTCTTCATCTCTGGATCTCTCAGCGCCACTCGGCCATGAAAACACGGAAGCTGGTAGTTTTCATAGGAGCGCTTGTTTCGGTAGAAATAGACGTAACCGTCTGACCTCATGTCGGGTCGGCTCCACTTCAACACTTGGATGGTTTCACTTTTGGGACTCTGACACTGAAGAACTGCATTGTGGTCCGGTTTCACTGCCACCTCCTGCTGCCCTGAAGAAAAACATGGACATACAGAGAAGAGTTTCCAGCTGCAGCTCAAGTTGCTGTGAAAACAGATTCAGCAGTGGCCGTCCTGTAACTCGGTGTCGTGGTGTCTGACAGTTCGTTTCACTGACGCTAAATTTAGCAGCAGGACTTGGAGCAGCAACCAGGACACTTTTAGGAATCTGTTGTTGACTGAACGGAGCTGCTGCTGTGAAACTGCGTCACAACTTCACTGAGGCAAACGGAAAATAATCAATTCTATAAATTCTAGTTCATAAGTTCCAAGTTTTAGATTCAGTTTTGTTTTTGAGATCTGTGATTAAGAAGAAATGATTATTCATTAGAAATATTTCTTCAGCTCCGTCTGTTATTTTGAAACTGAATCCTGCAGAATATTTTCACGGAGAGAACGAGAGACCGGGGTTCACTCATTTACAGAGAATATGTCGATATTAATTTTCCTTAAAACAGACTCTGGATTGTTCCTTAAGGAATTTACAAACCAAATAACAACCTGACACTGACAACAGTTCTGTCCCTGTTACTGTGTGGACACAGTCTCACTCCTCGGAGGAGACCAGGAGTACGAGGCGCGCCCCAAATGAAAAACCCCTTTGATCAGGACGTGATTGATTAATTGATTATTGGTTTTGTTTTTGTTTCTTCTCTAGTTGTGTAGTTTTTAATCCTGTCAGAAGCTCACACTCAGCTCACACTGCTCACCTGCCGTCGCACCAGGGAGAAAACAAACCAGGAAAACTATGAGAAGATCCATGAGAGGAGAGGGTGGTGGAGCTGCTGCCGCCGGCAGTGAGGGAAACTGAAACACTGACCTTTAATAGTGCTCCGTCTGGTCCAACACCAGACCCCCCCCTCCCCCACACACACACACACACACACACACACACACACAGTCTACCTGGAGACTCACACTCGTGACCTTTAAGGACAAAAACGTCCTCATACACAGCAATAAAAAAATATCACATATTACACACATTATTTTCCTCTTTCACAGAGTCAGATGTTTTAACCAACATCAGTCTTGATCATAACGACTAAATATTCCATCATTTTCAGGATTTTAACCCTTTAAATTCCAGTTTGTTTACTCTGTGTCTGTCTGAGGCTCAGAGCCTCCTCTCTTCTGATTGGCTCACCGACCACTGACATGGTTTTTATATCTTCTGATGGATCAACACTTCAAATCAAACACAGAAGAAGAAGAAAGGTGGAGCTTTAACACAGTTTATAGACATGGTAAACAGATGACTGGACAGCAGGGCTCACAGCACCCTCCACTGGCAGAATCATACTCTCCTAGAATATTTTAACCTCACCTGCTTCATCAGACTCATTTACATCCTTCCTATGTGCAGTTTTTTTTGCATTGACTGATGGTTGGTCTCTGAGCTCTCGAGCTAAACTGACCCTCTTCCTGGAAACAGCTTGATAGGAAATCACACAGAAGAAAGGAGGAAGTGGGTTCACCAGCTGTGACCTGCTGTAAAGGTCTTGAGCTCAAATCAACATGTGGTACGATGGGACGACTTCAGTGGCTGCTCTGTAAGTACGATCTGTTCTTTTTGAAGATAGAAAATATCATTTTAGCTCGTGTTGGGGAGGAAACGTTTCAAAGAAATCATATAGTATGAATGAGCAGGAGGGAAACGTGCAGTTAAGGAAGGGTTAATGTCATAAGGTTCATGTTGGGACAGGAAGTGAAAACATATTAACCACTCGATCAGTTGCGGGTGAAGGGATGTCGATGTTGCTCAGTCCACCACAGCTAATCCCTCAGAGCGCCAAGATAGGTTTTATTTAACTACAGTGGGTACGGAAAGTATTCAGACCCCTTTAAATTTTTCACTCTTTGTTTCATTGCAGCCATTTGCTAAAATCATAAAAGTTCATTTTATTCCTCATTAATGTCACTCAGCATCCTGACAGAAAAAAACAGAAATGTAGAACTTTTTGCAAATTTATTAAAAAAGAAAAACTGAAATATCACATGGTCATAAGTATTCAGACCCTTTGCTGTGACACTCATATTTAACTCACATGCTGTCCATTTCTTCTGATCCTCCTTGAGATGGTTCTACTCCTTCATTGGAGTCCAGCTGTGTTTAATTAAACTGATTGGACTTGATTAGGAAAGGCACACACCTGTCTATATAAGACCTCACAGCTCACAGTGCATGTCAGAGCAAATGAGAATCATGAGGTCGAAGGAACTGCCCAAGGAGCTCAGAGACAGAATTGTGGCAAGGCACAGATCTGGCCAAGGTTAAAAGAATTTCTGCAGCACTCAAGGTTCCTAAGAAAACAGTGGCCTCCATAATCCTTAAATGGAAGAAGTTTGGGACGACCAGAACTCTTCCTAGACCTGGCCGTCCAGCCAAACTGAGCAATGGTGGGAGAAGAGCCTTGGTGAGAGAGGTAAAGAAGAACCCAAAGATCACTGTGGCTGAGCTCCAGAGATGCAGTAGGGAGATGGGAGAAAGTTCCACAAAGTCTCTGCAGCCCTCCACCAGTCGGGGCTTTATGGCAGAGTGGCCCGACAGAAGCCTCTCCTCAGTGCAAGACACATGAAAGCCCGCATAGAGTTTGCCTAAAAACACATGAAGGACTCCCAGACTATGAGAAATAAGATTCTCTGGTCTGATGAGACCAAGATTGAACTTTTTGGCGTTAATTCTAAGCGGTATGTGTGGAGAAAACCACGCACTGCTCATCACCTGCCCAATACAATCCCAACAGTGAAACATGGTGGTGGCAGCATCATGCTATGGGGGTGTTTTTCAGCTGCAGGGACACGACGACTGGTTGCAATTGAAGGAAAGATGAATGCGGCCAAGTACAGAGATATCCTGGAAGAAAAGCTCTTCCAGAGTGCTCAGGACCTCAGACTGGGCCGAAGGTTCACCTCCCAACTAGACAATGACCCTGAGCACACAGCTAAAATAACAAAGGAGTGGCTTCTGAACCACTCTGACCATTCTTGACTGGCCCAGCCAGAGCCCTGACCTAAACCCAATTGAGCATCTCTGGAGAGACCTGAAAATGGCTGTCCACCATCGTTCACCATCCAACCTGACAGAACCGGAGAGGATCTGCAGGGAAGACTGGCAGAGGATCCCCAAATCCAGGTGTGAAAAACTTGTTGCATCATTCCCAAGAAGACTCATGGCTGTACCAGCTCAAAAGGTGCTTCTACTCAGTACTGAGCAAAGGGTCTGAATACTTATGACCATGTGATATTTCCGTTTTTCTTTTTTAATAAATTTGCAAAAATTTCTACATTTCTGTTTTTTTCTGTCAGGATGCTGAGTGACATTAATGAGGAATAAAATGAACTTTTTTGATTTTAGCAAATGGCTGCAATGAAACAAAGAGTAAAAAATTTAAAGGGGTCTGAATACTTTCCGTACCCACTGTATAACAGAACACCACTGAGCTGCTGTAACTCTCAACTGGAGTTTATTTTACTTATATTTATGTTACCGAAGGGTGATGATCGGTTTAATGTTTCATTGTGATCACAGCTTTAAGCAACCATAACAACCATAGCAACCATAACAACCATCTGATATATGAAACTTCATTGAAGGCAGCTGAACTTGTATCATTAACCTGGACAAAAGTAAAAGAAGCTTTTGAAGAATGTTAATCTAAGAGTGAGTCACACACACCACAAACTCTCAGTTCGCTTTCTGTGTCATTTCCTTCAGTGCTGACTTCGCTGCTGAGCTGCACGACCAACACAGGTCTGTTACCGTTCCTACAAACATCTGTTTCACTATGACTGTGTACTTCAGCCACTGGCAGCTCTGTCATGTTTGCCGTAACACCTCCCACCATGAAGCTCTGCTGGGACTGATGCAATCACCTTGTTTGATTCAGCACTCAGGTCTACTCAGGCCTGTGTTAACGATAGAAAATACCTTATTTCTGCACAGTATTTTCTCTAATATCCCAGCAGAGAGGACGTCACTGTGGATGTGTTGTTGCAGTTTCACAAAGACAGACTTCGACTGTGTCTTAGATACAGTCAGACTTCAGATAGATGTCTAAATCCACCTGTTGCACAAAGCACTTTACTGACTATCTTAAGCCAGACTGTGGTACAATGAATTCTGGGTAAAGTAAATAATGTAAACAATGTAAACAAAATGGCCGACCCCAGCAGAAAATTGAGAGATGATGGAGAGACAGTTCGTTATAATCGTGAGTCCCTGCTTTGAATTTCCTTGTAAGGAGTGACAATGTTCGAACTCTAATACTCTGAATTCGCTCACAGCTGGTCTGACGGTGAGTCCCAGCAGCTCTCAGCTGTTTGAAGAAGACTTTGTCTCTCTGAGCTGTGAGGAGGACGACAGCTCTGCTGGATGGAGGCTGAGGAGGAACACCACCAGAGAAACCAGGACTCAGTGTGACATCTGGGGAGAATCAGCTGGTTCTTCCTGTAACATCACTCACATCGTCCCACAGGACAGTGGAGTTTACTGGTGTGAGTCCAGAGAGGGAGCAACCAGTAACAGCATCAGCATCACTGTCACTGGTAAGATCAGACTGTGGAGTCAGTGTTGATGAAGCTGTGTGTAAATGGATGAAATGCTGTAGTTTGTCTGTGTGTTGAGGTGGAGCAGTGATCCTGCAGAGTCCTGTCCTCCCTGTGATGGAGGGACATGATGTCACTCTGCACTGTAAAACAAAGACCCCTCCCTCCAACCTCCCAGCTGCTTTCTATAAAGATGGCTCCCTCATCAAAGAGACTACAGGTCACATGACCATCCACCATGTTGACAAGTCTGATGAAGGCCTCTACAGCTGTGACATCAGAGGTCATGGAGAGTCTCCGCCCAGCTGGATCACTGTCACAGGTCAGGAGGTCAAGGGTCACGCTTCAGTTGTACTTGTTTGACCTCATTAGTTCAATAAAAAAGTTTCATTTTGTAATTTTCTGAACAGTGAAATTTATGAATTTAATTAATTTTAGAGAAACCCACCACCACAGCTGGACCTACACCCACCTCTCCTCCTGGTTCCTCCACCTCTCCTCCTTCTCTCACTGTCTTATTGCCTGTTGTATCTGTCTGTGGTCTGGTTCTACTGGTGTTACTGGTTCTACTGGTGAGACGATGTGTTCGGAGGAAACAAATAGGTGAGACACAGATTTTACATGATCTAGATGTTACTCTCTGAGGTCTGAGGGTATTATCTTGATTTATTACATTTATACACATTATTTTTTTAGATACTTACATAGAAGATAATACCCGAGTGTTTTATATCCCAATCTCAGCTCTTTCACTAATGAGGCCCCTTTTTGACCCTGTTTACACTGTGCAAAGAGATGATTTGGCCCAAATGCTGAAAAACTGAAGCCCAGTTATTTTGTGAAAACAAACCTTTACTGATGTGAGTGAAGAGTTTTGGTGTTTCAGATTGGTTTACCAAAGTCTTGGGTTCATAAACATAGTGCAACATGTGAGTAAAGTAGTAGATTAATGTATAACAAAGTGTTATCTGTCACTCTATTTTAACCATATTTTGGAGACCGTCTATTAGTCACGTACGATCTTGCAAGAATATGAACGGAGAGTGGAGAGTCTACAGATTCTCACAACATTTAAATCATACTTCTACGCTGTATTATCACAAAGATATTCATAGAAACATCAGTCGAGCTCAGAGGTTTTTAAATTCCAACTACAAAGTGTTTCCTTGAATTAAATGTCTTATTCTTGTTGTTACTTACCTCGTTGTTTATTTTGGTTCGTTCCAGCTGCTGAAGCAAAAGGTGGAGAAGATGAAGATGATGTCATGTACTGTGATGTTGAAATATCACGACATCAACAGCCAATCGGACAGAGCGGAGGTGGTGGGTTTTTTTTGTCAGAATTTATTGTTTATTGCATGTTGTTTGTTTGGTTGCGTGTTGTTTGTTTGGTTGTGTGTTGTTTGTTTGGTTGCGTGTTGTTTGGATGGTTGCGTGTTGTTTGTTTGGTTGCGTGTTGTTTGGATTGATGCGTGTTGTTTGTTTGGTTGCGTGTTGTTTGGATGGTTGCGTGTTGTTTGGATGGTTGCGTGTTGTTTGTTTGGTTGCGTGTTGTTTGGATTGATGCGTGTTGTTTGTTTGGTTGCGTGTTGTTTGGATGGTTGCGTGTTGTTTGTTTGGTTGCGTGTTGTTTGGATTGATGCGTGTTGTTTGTTTGGTTGCGTGTTGTTTGGATGGATGCGTGTTGTTTGTTTGGTTGCGTGTTGTTTGGATGGTTGCGTGTTGTTTGGATGGTTGCGTGTTGTTTGTTTGGTTGCATGTTGTTTGG